TGAAAATAGACGACAAACTGTAAAAATTGTTGTATTTTTAAACGTGAATAACTTTTTAACTATTGAAGTTATAAAAATAATTTTTAGATATTTATATACAGTACCACTTAAAAAGCTTATTTTATTTTGTTAATTTCACAAATTTATATTGATAATTTGTAAACCCTTGACATGGCCTTTATAATTATAATTAAATTCGCTACTAGGTGTACCACTAATTTTGCACTCACCATCAAAATCTTTGGGTACTATTCCCTCGGCCATCGCATACCACTTATCGAGTGGACAGTCGTATAAACCCTCACACTTTGGCAGCTTTAATAAAATAGGTGTTTTCACTTCACCCGACTTAACCAGGGTATCCGTCTCGTTAAAGTAGTAGACCCGTACAAAGTAACCCTCGGTATTGTCGGCCCGCATGTCATACCTGTAAACCACGGGTTTCTGGTGTAGTTCCACGAGTAGGGCCGATCCAAAAGGCATCAGTAGGTCGTTCCACACGTCCAATGTGTTCATAAGTACGCCTACATTTGAATCGTGAGTTGAGTACAGAAACAGCCGGTGCTTATAGTTGGTACGGGAGGTTTTGTTCGCCCGGTAGCGCATGTTGTCCGTCAGCTCCTGGAGTAAAGGGCCGGCCCTTAATCGTTGAAACACATGACTCTTATACCGCGTGTTCCAGTAGTCGACGGTTAGGGTCCGGAGTCGGGCTATGTTTGTTAGGTCGTCCTCCGGGAGCCACTTGCCAGCCGCGGACCACTTGTAGCCCCTGTCGTACTCTATAGACAGTGTATCCCAGAATTTGTTAACCTTTTTTAAGTCAGTGATTTGTTGACCGAGTGGCTCAGCCATGTCTGCGAGGAATGCCTTCTCTCTGTCCATAATTGCTTGACTTTCCTGAGATTTTAGGTGTTCCTTAACCGCCTGATCCGCTTTAGGACAGTACGACTCGGACCTCAAGAGGCTGTCATCATTCTTGTGCTCTCGAGGGTAGGTATATATGGGAATGGGTTGCCACAACTTTCCCAACTGGGCGTCCGGATCAGACATATCCCACGTCCAGTGGTGGGCGACGGGCGGGTAGGCGCCCGACAATATCATTGACACCGACTCCAGACATCGACCCTCGGCTGAACTCCGAGCGTATACCTCGCGGGGACTGTAGGCCTGACCCAAGTATTCGTCGTAGTTGTCGCGCAGATAACGGCCCACTTTATACATACGGTATTTGCCTTTTAAGGTGAGCTCCCCGTCCCCTTCCGGCCATAGGTTTGCCATATTGTCTCCGGTGTTGATGTTATAGGGGTCGCCCGGGAACCAGTTTTCAGGGTTACGGTCCCCGTGTCGGTGCACCACTTGTAGGAGTTTTAGGGTTGTGATATCGTGTCCGTCCCATGAGTGCACCGGTAGTATGACTATTAGCGAACACTGTATTAATATTAGGTTCACTAATGTTGAGTACATGATATCATTGACAATTAAAATACACTGTTAACTAGATTTTTGTAATTTAATAATCATTTATATACTATATATTAATATATATGTTACGTATACCATAAACATAATTAATAAGATGATAATATGAGTACAAATTACTTTAGCTATAATAGACATGTAGTTTATTTTCATAAATATGTATGTGACGTATGGAGTAAATTGTATTTTTAATGATTAATTTTATGAATATTTTTTTACATGTTATGTTACATTGTGTATTAAATACAATTCTGTTGAATTTGTTTTTATTTTGTCAACTCACCTGTTGGATTAAATAAATAATAGTAGCTGTCAACTACAACAAAAGCATGCTACTTTACAACTTCATATATCATTTTAATTGTTATTAATAAAAATTACTACTTACTTCTACAGTACATTCATTTTCAGTTTCACAACCAATTTTATTACTAAATATTTTGAAAGGAGTGGGAAATTTAATTAACTTGTATTAATTAAAATAATTTTTTTTATAGAATTTATTTATAATTTTAATTATTACTATTTCTAACTATTGTAAAAATTGTAAAAATATTTTAATATTATAACTATGGACTGGATAAATAGTATTTTGCTAGAAAGTATAAAGCACTTTAGCATTAGTACTTATATAAAAAGCTTTTTAAATTAAAATTAATTTATTCCTATGCCAATGAATCGTTAGAATAAATAAATATTTTAACATTATTGAACTTAATTATAATTTTTAAAATAATATATAAATTCTATTAAAGTACTAATATTAGCAGAAATTAATTAAAATATAATCATATTATAAACAATGAGTTTTATTTTAGCATCATAAACAATAATATTATTGTTTATAATATTATTAAACTAGACATGTTTATATTGCAATCATTAAATTGCATGTTAGGCTTATTGATTGATTGATTAGGTCTTCCCATTATTTCTGTACTTAATTATAGCTAATTACAAGTAAATGAATACAAAATTAATGTTTTACTTTATATGGCTTTACATGAATAACAGCAAACCTTTATCATTTAACCCTATGGCATACCGGTGCTCACCAGTCATAAGATAGTTTGATAAGCCTTTGTGCCTAAAGTAAAGTGTAATAAAAATGCAATAAAATGTTATAAGACAAAAAAACTAATTTTTTAAAACTAAATATTAAATGACAATTAAATTCATAATAATGTATATAAAAACGGTGTCTAAAATACTAACGGTGCTGTCCACCATATGTTCACTACTACCACCACAAAGTGTACACTCGTGGAAAGGGCACGACATCTCAACCCTACAGCTACTACAGGTAGTCCACCGGCACGGGGACCGGGCTATCACCAAGATCTACGACAAGGACCCATTCAAAGACCTGGACACCTACTGGCCCGAGGGACTGGCTGAACTATCACAACAGGGTCGGTACCGGTGCTATAAACTTGGTGAAAACATACGCGACACCTACCAGTCATACCTGGGCGCTAAGTACAGCCCGCGTGAGGTGTACGCCCGGAGTTCAGCCAAAAGTCGATGTCTGGACAGTATTAACACGTTGTTGGCCGGCCTATACCCGCCCATCAACGTCAGCTACCAGTGGAATGTCGGCTCAAACGCACCGTTAGGTGAGAAATGGCAGCCCATACCTGTCTATACCTATCCCATGGAGCGTATGAACGACGATAGGCTACTACGGACTGATGATCCCTGTCCTGCGGCTGATAAGGCGATCGACGAGCTGTTTAACGAGCCGGAAGTCCTACAGGCTATGGAGAGGGAGTCTAAACTGTTAGGCGAGTTGAATGAGACAATGGGTGCGAACATCCGGAATATTCTGGACGCCAAGAATACCTACGATCACCTGTGGGTCGAGTGGGAAAGGGGTTACAACTGGTCATCGGCAGAGATATGGAGCCCAGAATACGAGCAAAATATATTCACAGCGTTGAAGCCATTGGCGGAACTCCTATGGTTTCAGGAGTGGAACAGTAGTCTCGTTCAGCGGCTGAAAGGCGGGCCACTCATCGAGGAATTGGTGAAGAATTTCCGCAATTCTGTGACAAATTCTGCCCTCAATTCCGGTCACAGAATATTCGTGTACTCGACTCATGACGCGATGATAGCCGTAGTAATGCATGCGTTGAAAGTGTGGAATCATGTTATTATACCCTATAGTTCGACCTTGCTCTTTGAGCTACATAAGACCTTAGGTACCGGTGCCGGGGAGGGCTATTTTGTGAGATTATACTATTATAATGAGACTTTGGACGCGGATAGAAGTCCGTATTTATTGGATTTACCCGATTGTGACGATCAGACCGATTGTCCATTTGATAAGTTTTTGGCGATGACTAGTGTGTTGATACCAGAGGACTGGGATGCTGAGTGTGCCGGTGCTAGTACTATCAGTACCAGTGCTAGTAGTACCAGTACCAGTGCTAGCAGTACCAGTAGTGCTAGTAGTAATATACAGTATGCAGTAATTTATGTATCATTTGTTATGTGTCTAGCACAAATTACTATAAATTATATTCAATATGTATAACGTAAAGTTGTAACTTAAAATTTGTTCATGATTATTAAATACAGAATGAATACCAATAAAATTGATTTCATTTTATAAACTATAATACACATATCATTAATAATTCTAACATTTAATTCTTGCTCATTTACACATTCATTTGTAATCATTACAATGTTAATCAATTCAATTACTCATTAGAAATGAATTCATTAGAAATAAAAACACATTAATGTTTCATAACTACATGTTTTTTAGATTAATACATAATTTGACATGTAAGCAAAACAAATATATTAAACATTCAAATTTATTTAAATAGCATCTGCGTAATAAATTTTAATTTATCATATTTACAATTATCATTTAGTTATATTAATTTTATTATCTAGAATATAAATATAAACATAACATGATAATAATCTATTGAGTGTAATATAAATTTTGAATTAAAATTGTTTGCAAGTTAATTATTTATTTATTTAACACTAATTATGAAATTGTTTGGAAATCTGAACATATTTAATAAATATGATGATCGGGGTACTTATTCTTTACTTACTGTTGACAACATAAACAATATAAACATCATTAAAATTAAAAATTGGGATAAATATGTGTATACAGTAATTATGTGTCTAAATCATACGGCATTTGTGAGTATTGTTAAATAAATTAAATTATCTAATAAACTCTTATAAATAAACTGACCAGGGTATGACTAGTGCGATGTTTGCACCGGCACTGGTAGATTTTAAATACATATTAAATACATCGTTAGAAAGGGTGGCCTTGTATTCAACGTGTTTTTCCGTAGGACTTATAATGGGAACACTATGTATTGAATTATATTTAAATTTGATATATTATAGTACAATAGACAAAGTTTATTTGTGGACAGTTAACATTCGCTGCCCATTGAAGTGTCCACAAAAATAAACTTTTCTAATGTGCCATAAATTATAATTAAAAATATTTAATAAATTTATAATATTAGGCGGATTACTATACAAGAGATACCTGAACCGACAATTAACGGCATCCCTGCTCCTGGTATTTGCCAGCGTATCAATGGCACTGTTACCCCAATCACCCAACATATGGCTATTCTATGTGAGCGCGTGGATCATAGGACTGGGAACCGGCAACTGGAATAGCATTATGAATGTATGGCTCATCGAGATGTGGAGGGATAGGAGCGCACCGGTGCTGCAGTTTATTCAGTTTGGGTTCGGTATGGGAACCATAGTCTCACCCCTTCTACTAAAACCTCATTTACTGGGCGACGGGAGGGCTGGTAGTCATACCCTTGTAAGTCCACTAGTGAGAAATGATACTGGTACTTTTGATGATAGCGCAGATCGTAGGGCTAGGCTATGGCTGCCGTTCCTTATCAACGGGTGCCTACAAATTATATGTAAGTTTTATTTGATGCGTAAATTATTAAATCTATGACCAAGTTCAATTATTTCAAGGCCTTATAGATTACCTAGTTACAACAATTGATTTGACATTTTACATTATTTTATACACAATTTACATACAGTTCCCGTGGCACTGTTAATCATGTTTATCATAAAACCGTACCAATTATGCCCCGATAACTTGCCTGATAATTCTAAAATTTCCGAAACTAAACTATTTGACCGTGCTGAATCACCTCGCAAGTTTGGTATACTAGTATTTGCATTATGGCTGTCCACCTATTGTGTCCTGGAAAATACGGTTTTATATTTCACGGCAACATATCTACAGTACAGTCCCCTTAGGCTAACAGCTGGGAAATCGGCCGAAATGGTGTCCATAACCGCCCTCTCCTACACCATCGGCCGAGGGATCAGTATATTTATATCCATGAAAGTCCGGCCCCAGTATATGATAGCCTACCACTTTGTAATACTCTACCTATCCATGAGCATTCTAATAATATGGGGTCAGTATAGCCTACCAGTGCTGTATGCAACCAACGTGTGCATAGGACTGGGACTGTCGGCCCTATTCCCGGCTATGTTCGCATACCTCGAGCACTATATTGTCATAACCGACACAATTGGCACGTACTGTATGTTAGTGGCGGAGCTCATCAGTCTATTCAACCCATACATGTTGGGACTTATGGTGGAAAGACATGCCGTGATTGTCATTGTAATTGAATGTGTTTATTTGATACTGTGCTCGGTGATATTTGTTGTCATTTTAGTGATAGTCAACAAGTACACTAAATTATCCGTTAATTTACGATCATTTCAAAGCAAGAAAAATAAAATTAAAAATTAATTTAACTTGGTTAAACTCATTTGTTTTTCTAAGTTTTGTATTGGTTTATTTTAATTTTTTAATTTTATTTAATTCACGGTAAGCTTATTTAGCTTTGTTAATTATTTAGTTTTATTAACTACAATTTTATAATAGCGGTTTAAAATTAATGTAAAAAATAACTTGTTAAATAATTGCTAAATTTTTGTAATTTATAAATTTAGTAAAATAAAATTATAATTTTTTAATTTTTAATGAGTTTACGTGTGTTATAGTTTATAATAAAACTATTTTATTTTAATATAATATTCATATAATATTAAGATTTATTTATTTTTAGTTTACCTTGACACGAATATGATAATAGCACATTATAGTGAAAGTTATCAACATTAACTGAAGTGTTTGTATTATAATTTAAAATCTATTATCTACTATCTATTATTTTAATTATTCAAAACCTACGTACTAAAATGATTTTATATTTAATTATATATCTGCAATTTATTAGTTCACCTTGCATGCAATCCATTATATTGAACAACCGTAAAAATGTGACTTTTAAAAATTAATTTATCACATGTTGTGTCAACAACACCGGTAGACATGCATACAATTTATGTGTTACTGTATTATCTCTTAAAGTAGTTATTATTAATATTAAAATCATTTGACTTCAAAGCAAACATTATGTAGCAAGCAAACACTAACACTTAATAATATTATAATGTACTTCAATGTTTGAAGTTCAAACAAGTATTTTTCCACAAACAATTACATTTATCACATTTTCTAATCACATAATGTATATCACATATATTATAATTTATAAATACTTTTCAAGGTGTTTCACACGCACCTACCAAGTGAATATTAATTAATGAATTTATAATTTAAATAAAATAAATTACATTTATATTATGTTCATTGTTAATTGATAACGTAAGCTATATTTGAAACTTTTTTAGTTAATGTCAAAATTACTTTTAGTTTAGTTGTTTTGCATTCATAATAAATCGATACTAAAATAAACGGAAATTGTTGCTCAAAACTTTGTGTATTTGTATTATTTGATTAGACAAATGTTATCTGAATATTGTCGTAATAATTAAAATACTTTTCAAATCTCGTGAATATAAATAAGTCATGAGATTATGATATTTTCTATTAATATTATGTGAATAGTTTACATCTTTATGTGAATATTTATTTTAATAAATTGTAAATTTAAAATATTTAAACAAAAAATTATTTAATAAAGTACTCGTCCAGTGTTTAGCTAATAAAAATTATAAGTGAAAATTTTATTATAGTTAAATATAATTTAATATAGTAAAAATGTTTGGGGAATGCTCCGATGACCAGGATCACTCTACATCATACACTGTTAACAATATAAATAAAATACACATCACAAGGAAATGTAGCAAAAACTGGGATAAATACGTGTATACAATAATCATGTGCTTAAATCACACGGCGTTTGTATGTATATTTAACGCAACATAATATATATTTGTAAAATTGTTTTTTAAAACTGACCAGGGCATGACTCTAACCATGTTTGCACCGGCGATGGTGGACATGAAGTACGCGTTGAACACATCGCTACAAATGGTCTCACTTTATACGACATCCTTTTCCATCGGCTATATTATGGGAACACTTTGTATGTAATTATAGTTTATTTAAATTTTATTCTTTCACATATTTATCTATTTTTACCTAGCTAGACTAAACAAAAAATATAATCAAATTATAAGTGTTATCAAATTATTTTATCATAGCTATATAAATATTAAAAATAATTTTAAAAATATCAAGTATATTAAATAAATTCTTAAATATAATTTTGAAAATTAAAACTTTATCCTGATTATTTAATACGACAGTAAAATCCAATAATCTATTTTAAAAATCATTCATTAATTATAATTTTTTCATTTAATTTATATTTACAGTCGGCTTACTATACAAGTACCTGAACCGACAGTTAACGGTATCACTGTTCCTGATACTGATGAGCATATCGGTGGCAGTGTTACCCAACTCACCTAACATATGGCTATTTTACGTAAGTGCCTGGCTCATAGGGCTGGGCGCCGGGGCCTGGAATAGCATCATAAATGTCTGGCTAATTGAAATATGGAAGGATAGGAGCGCACCGTTACTCCAGTTTTTACAGTTTAGTTTCGGTTTGGGGACTATAGTCTCGCCCCTCTTATTGAAACCACATTTGGTGGGTGAGAGGGCTGGCAATCATACCACTGGAGTGACAAGTGTAGAAGTGTCCGGGTTATTATTCAGGAATTATCATGATTATAGCGCAAATGGCACTGATACGTTTGATGATAGTTTGGACCGTAGGAGTAAATTATGGCTACCGTTCCTGATTAATGGATGTATACAAATTATATGTAAGTGTTGCAATATTATACTCTATTCCATAAATTATTAGCTGGTTAATTATTTAATTATTTTTTTCAAAAAACTATTTAAAGCAAATAAATGAGTTTAAACAAATTACAAGTGAACCAGGTTATTACTTATCAAATAATCATTAATACAGTACTAACTATAGTATTATTTATAGCTGTAAATAAAATATTTTATAAATTAATGTTTTAATTATCTATTTTTGTATTAATTATCGGGTTCACCAACAAGCTTTCAATTTTATTAATTTTGCATTATTTAAAGATTAAATTTATATTTTTTGAATACAGTTCCCATGGCATTGATAATCATGTTTTGCATCAAACGATATCAGTTATTAGCAAATAATCAACCTGATGAATCAAAAACTACTCAGCTAAACAGTGACAAAAAACTATTTGACCGAGCTGAATCGCCACGCAAATTATGCATACTTATATTTGCCGTATGGCTGTCCACCTACTGTGTCATGGAGTCGACGATCATGAACTTCGGGGCCACTTATCTCCAGTACAGTCCCCTCCGGCTAACAGCCCGTAAAGCGGCGGAAATGGTGTCCATAATAAACCTATGCTTCACAATAGGCCGGGGATTGAGTATATTTATATCCATGAGAGTCCGACCCCAGTATATGATAGCCTACCACTTCGCCATTCTCTACCTGTCCACCATTGCGCTGATCATATGGGGTCAGTACAGCTTACCGGTGCTGTGGGTCACAAACGTGTGCATAGGACTGGGACTGTCGGCCCTATTCCCGGCTATGTTCGCATACCTCGAGCAGTATATAGTGATCACTAACCCCATCGGCACGTGTGTTATATTAGCGTCGGATGTGTTTAATCTGTTTAATCCCTATGTGTTGGGACTTATGGTGGAAAGGCATTCCGTGGTAGTCATCATATTTCAATGCATGTACTTGGTACTGTGCTCGACACTATTTGTCGGTATTATAGTCATAGTTAATAAGTATCAGAGAATTAGCAAAAAGTTTAATTCATTGCATAATAATAATAATGTTTTTGTTTTGACATAATTGTTAACAAATTAATTTTGATAAATTATGTTTTAGTACAAGTATGTGTATTATTTTAATGAGATTTACTTTATACAATAACCTTTATAGTTATTTTTATATTCAACAAAATAATTTTACAGTATTTTATATAATATGAAAATATAGATATTTATGAATTTGTATTAGCAAATTAATATTTAATATAATAAATTATATTTAATGACACATTTGATATGATACTACATATACATACAGTATATGAATGGCATAGTCACACAACCACTCATTTATACCTTACCTGCAATGCTCTCTGAAAATATAAAATACAATATTTTATTATATTTTATTTTATTATTATTTTATTTTATTATTATTTTATTTTATTATTATTTTATTTTATTATATTTTAGTAATTTTTAAAAATTTTTAATAATAGTTTATAAACAAAAAAGATATAAAATCGTTAAACTTTTGTAATAACACTTTTTAAGTAATTAAATTACTAGTAAATATTATATTTTGTATTTATACGCGTTCATATTTTATTATAAATTATGGTAACAAAACACTAATAACTTCCAACTTTAAAATAATATTTAAATTATTTTTTGACAATACCAAATTACAAACTTGGAAATAAATGTAATTATTTAAATATTTAACTTATTTTTAATACCAAAGACAAATAATTAGCAAATACAATATTGAACAATCTGTAATTCAAAATTAATTCCCTAAAACCATAACTTATTTAAACTTATTAATTAAATACATTTTCATAATATTATAAAATCACGGAAACATTATTTGTTCATAACATGCATACTATTATTATCGCTATTATTACTACAATTTGTTACTTTTTCCGTACTTTTAATAAACATAAAAATCATTATAAAAGCCGTTAAACCGATGAACAACTGAACGATTTGTATGATTATGAAAGCCATGGGCTGTGTCTTAATGAATGAACGGTATTGTGGTTCTCGTGTGGGGCCGTCCAGTTCATACCGCCCATCATATTGGGGCAGTTCATTAAGACACAGCCCATGGCTTTCATAATCATACAAATCGTTCAGTTGTTCATCGGTTTAACAATTGTGGGCCTATTTTTCGTCCAGTACTCCGTCACCGGGCTATGGGTGCTGTCTATTTTGGTAGGCTTTGGCTTTTCATTGCTATACCCGGGGGTACTATCCTTCACGGGCAAGTATATTGAGATCACCAATCGGTTGGGAACGGTATTGTGGTTCTCGTGTGGGGCCGTCCAGTTCATACCGCCCATCATATTGGGGCAGTTCATTAAGACACAGCCCATGGCTTTCATAATCATACAAATCGTTCAGTTGTTCATCGGTTTAACGGCTTTTATAATGATTTTTATGTTTATTAAAAGTACGGAAAAAGTAACAAATTGTAGTAATAGTAGCGATAATAATAGTATGCATGTTATGAACAAATAATATTTCGTGATTTTATAATATTATGAAAATGTATTTAATTAATAAGTTTAAATAAGTTATGGTTTTAAGAATTAATTTTGAATTACAGGGTGTTCAATATTGTATTTGTTAATTATTTGTCTTTGGTATTAAAAATTAGTTAAATGTTTGAATAATTACATTTGCTTCCAAGTTTGTAATTTAGTATTGTCAAATTATTTTTTAAAAATAAATTAAATATTATTTTAAAGTTTGAAGTTATTAGTGTTTTATCACCATAATTTACCGTATAATAATATATGAACGCGTATAAATATAAAATATAATATTTAATAGGAATTTGATTACTTTAAAAGTGTTATTACAAAAGTTTACCGATTTTATATCTTTTTTGTTAATAAACTATTATTTAAAAATTTTTTTAATATGAGTTAAATATAGTTATTACTAATTAAATTACTATTA